GCCTCAGCCTCCCAAAATGTTGGGATTACAGGTGTGAGCCACTGCACCCGGCCTCCTGTTCATTTGTAGAGACCATTTTCAGAGGCGGGCAATGGATACTATTGTCTGCCTGTTCCTTCTTAATAGCACCCATTTTGTTTCATGAGTACAGTAGAGCCTTTCACTTTGAGGATGTTAATGGCCTGTTTTTGGTTTTAACTTTTCATCTTTGTAATTATTTCTTCTATGCTGTTTTCCTCTGTGGTTTTGGTCTCTGTCTCAGAGGTTTGGTGGTTCTTGCCTGTCTGCTGTGTGGCTGAGGGACTTGAAGCTCTGTGCACATGGGTCTTCCTGGAGGGTGAATGAGCTGGAATGTTTCATTGGGAATTTCCTCCTGTTGGGGACTTTTTTCTTCACCTGGTCAGATTTTTTTCATAAAGGACCTTTTCCTGTCTACCTGGAGACTGGGGTTCTGAGAGCATAGTGGAAGAAGAGTGGCTAATGGGAATCTGTCCTCTCTTCCCTGAGTAAAGAACCCTGATTTTCAGCTGAACTGATGTTCTCCAACCAAGACACTACCTGTTTTACTTTCTCACCAGTTTACTTTTGATTTGTTTACTGCTTGGGTTGTGGGAGGAATCTGGGTGTGTCCACCTGCCTTGTCCCTACCCCCACCTTTTAATATGAGTAATTTCAGATCTATAGAAAAGTCACAAGAATAGTGCAGTAAGCAGCCTTCACCCGGGTTTACCAGCTGATAGTGTTCTGCCACAGTGGCTCTTTGTGTTTTTCTTCTGAACCCTTTGAGAGATTACAGTAATTATGACATTTTACCCCTAAATACTGTCATCAAAAAACAAGAACAATCCCGGGACTACAGAAGCCTTTTCACATGCAAGAAATTTACTGTAGTACTATTCTATATAATCCATATTCAGATTTTTTTCATTATCCCCAAAATGTCCTTTACAGAGTTCCTCCCCTTTAATTCAAGATTTTTTCAAGTATTACATAAGTATTTTTTTTTTTTGAGACAGAGTTTCGCTCTTGTTACCCAGGCTGTAGTACAACGGCGCGATCTTGGTTCACCGCAACCTCCGCCTCCTGGATTCAGGCAATTTTGCCTCAGCCTCCTGAGTAGCTGGGATTACAGGCAGGCGCCACCACGCCCAGCTAATTTTTTGTATTTTTAGTAAAGACAGGGTTTCACCATGTTGACCAGGATGGTCTCGATCTCTTGACCTCGTGATCCATCCGCCTCGACCTCCCAAAGTGCTGGGATTATAGGCTTGAGCCACCGCGCCCAGCCTTACATAAGTATTTTATTGCCGTATTGCTTTGTTCTTTAATCTAGAAGTATTCCCAGCCCTCTTTTGCAGGGGGCATTGGGTGTCTTTCATGACATTGCCATATTTAAAGAGTCCAGGTCAGTTCTATAGAATGGCCTTCAATTTGGACTCATCTCTTTGTTCATGATTAGCTTCAAATGAGACTTTTTTTTTTTTTAAGGTAGCAATACTATATAAGTCATAATTATCAAATCATGAGGCCCAAGGTCAGTTTGTCTCATTATTGGTAATGTTAAGTTTGATCACTTCGTTAACATAATGTTTGCCAGATGTCACTGTTGTGAATATTTCTTTCCCCTTTTGAGATAAAAAGTAATTTGTGAATAAATAATCTCTGGAGTGGTATTCTAGGTCTTCTCCCTGATTCTGTTTCCTTCTGAACATGCTGTCCAGTGTGATCCTGTGCTGGGGAAGCAGCAACCTGGTACTCCAGTGGTGCTGGAGGCTGGAGGGGCTCATTTGCTCCGAGCGGCACAGGTCATGAGGCCCATAGTCAGAGCAGATGTAGCTCTGGGTGCTGCAGTGACCCCTGTACCAGGTCTCTAGCTGGGCTGTGAGGTGGGGCTGCTCGGGCCCCCTGGCCCTGGTGGAGGTGGAGGAGGCCCCCCAGCGCACCACAGCCTGGCCCTCCTCAGAAAGAGGGACATTCTCTACTGTCAGAGGCAGTCCTGAGAGGTCTGTAAGGGCTCTGTCCTGTGCTGTGCCCATTCCGCAGCCTGACCCCCAGGCTCTCCCCCAGGACACTGTCTGTCATCAGCATTATCTCAACAGCCGAGCCCTTCGCCTTCTGGCTGGCAAAGGCCTTGTCTGTGCTGTCAGGTTTCCACGGTGGGCACAGGACCAGCACTGAATAAATGCAGGGGTAAGGGGATGAATGTGAGCATTTGGATATGAAGACAAATGATGGAAAAAAAGGCTCACAATTGCCACCTGAACCCAGAGAAACCTGTTCAATAGAGTAGTGTCTTTTACCACCGTTTGGCTTTCTGGTTATGTTTCTGAAATATTTCACCTGATCTCCCACCCCAGGGGGTAGATGGCTTCACTCAGTCAACATGCAACAACCTGGTCTTTGGCATCCCTGTGACCAAAGTACTCTCTCTCTGTTACCTCTTCTTTCTCTTTCCTTTCCTCTGCCCTCAACTTATCTTGTCTTGTATGAGCAATTTTACCAGGCACTGTGCGTGGCTTGGGAAAGAGGCCAGGATGCAAAGTGGAGCCACAGGTCTTGCCCATTTGAGCAGAAAGAGATGTTGAATTTAAGTACAGTGACATTCTGCAGCCACACCCAGGTCTGGCCTCAGGTTTGTCCCAGATGTGTCTACCTTTGTCCTTTGCCAAAGCTGTTCCATCTGCCAGGAAGCCCCTCTGTTCTCTCTCAGCTTCCAGTCTCAGGTCCAGTCCCTCAGAAGCTCAGGTGGCTCTTCCCTTCTCCACTAACTGCGATACCCCATCCCAGTGACCCTCTTTGCCTGCCTCCCCTGTGAGCCCTGCCCTGCATCAGAGCTACCAGCAAGTCTGCGGGTCAGGTCTCCTGCCCAGAGCTGCAGGTAGCATAGCTCAGGACATGGGAACAGTTCTAAAGAGCTGATGGTCCCCCAGTACTGTGTGTTTACAGCAGGCGTCCCCAAACTACGGCCCACAGGCCACATGCGGCCCCCTGAGGCCGTTTATCTGGCCCCCGGCCGCACTTCAGGAAGGGGCACCTCTTTCATTGGTGGTCAGTGAGAGGAGCACAGTATGTGGCGGTCCTCCAACGGTCTGAGGGACGGTGAACTGGCCCCCTGTGTAAAAAGGTTGGGGACGCCTGGTTTACAGCATCAGGCCTGTTGTAGTGCCAGTTACTGTCCCACACTGAGGTCCTTAGAATGTATTTTGGGGTGGTAAGTTACACCAGAGGCACCTCTATCAATAAACACAATGAGGCCTTGAAAATGCTTCTCCCTTTTAGGTCTTCACTTTGTGTTGTAGGTATCTCGGACACAGGTAGCATATTTTGCATTTTAGTGATTCCTAATCGAGTAGCAACTCGTCTCCATCACATGCCTGAGAGGAGCTATGGAACTACTCTTATTGAGTGCCAGGTGAGTAAAGGAAGCAGAGCATCCAGGATCTCAGAAATAGTGAGAAATACACACAGACTTGTGTAGAAGGTGTTTAAGACAAGCTGTTGAAGAATAATGAAAAAAATGCAAACAGCCTAACTTCAAACCATAGAGATTATGATAACAAAAGAAATCCATTTGTGGAATACTATGCAGCCATCAAAAGTCATGTTTGTAAGCCCATTTAAAGATATGGAAAGCTGTTTATAGTCTTAAGTTTACAAAGTAAGTCATGAAATGGAATATCTGATGTGATCTCAATATTCATAAAGATTTGTATAGGAAAAAAGAGGCTTGGTGAGGGGCAGACTCACATAGGAAGGGTTTATGGCCTTTGTTTATTGTCTTTCAAACTTTTGTATTTTTCAAGTGTTCACATTGAATGTTTATTACTTTATCATGAGAAGAAAAAGCATGTGGATTTTTTATTAAATAAAAACCACAGCAAAGTCTATGACACCAGCAGAACCAACCTGCTGGAGAGGGGCTTGTCAGGTGGGGCTGCCAGCTCAGAGTCAGGGAAGGAAGCTTTTCAGGAGGCCTCCTAACCCTCCCTGTGACCTCCCTGGGGGAGCCGAGGCCCCACTGAGCCATCTGCAGCCAGAGTGCACCTGCTGGCAGGCATCTGTCTGTGTGCAGCCTTGGAGAGCACATTTGTTGCCCACCTGACCTGAACTTGTACCTGATGCCCTTCATGATGCATCAAAGGTACATCTGTACAGGCAGAGTGGGAGGTGGGTGGGCCCATGAGGGCTCTCTCCCCTCCACCATGGCCTTGGGTAAGTCACCCCCGTTCTCTTGAGTCTGCCCCTCACCTGTGAGATGGGAGGAGCGACGTTCTCCTTCCTCACAAGGGGGTTGGAGGACCAAAGAGAGTGTGTATGGAAGGACTGATGTGCAAATTACTGTTAGATTATGCTACATAAACTATAGTTCTTCCCCCATCTCCAGCTGCCTGTTTACACCTTCCAGCCATGCACCAAGGCCCACTGCACACCAGGGCCTGTGCCAAGCACCAAGGAGCCAGACAGGAACATACTAAGGTCCTGCCTAGAGGTCCTCACAGCCTTGGGGAACCAGCAGACAGAGGGACAGACAGGCAGCTCAGGCCCCAGGACAAGGGCTGCAGAGGAAGATCACACATGTGGTTCTCCTTCATACTGGTAGAGAAGGCCCTCAAGGAAGGGGTAGGGGCAACCTGGGCTTTAGAGAGAACTCCGTCGTGGGGCATTCCCCCGGGGCTGGAGCTGCTGAGGTATATTCATTTATGCAGAACCCTTTGCTGCGCTAGCAATGACTCATTAGAAAATGTAGTGACGAGGGCCTCCATTTCACCATAGTAACTTAAAAAATGAAAACTGCCAAGGCATAATTTTAATAAGAGCACATGGGACCCATTTGGTGCGAGCAACAGCATTTCATAGCTTCCTAAAGAAAGCCTGCACTGCTGGATTCTGTGCTACAGGTGCCCCTCAAGCCTTGTAGCCCCAAATAGTCTGAACTGTGCTGGCCAGGGAGGCTGCGACTGCACAGGCAGGACTCAGCACACATCTCCTTTTGCTTTCAGAAGTGACCGGGGAGGCACGTCCTTACCATGGGAAGGAGGCTGTGGATCCGAGACAGGGGCGGGCCAGAGGAGGCGACCCTACGCACTTCCACGCGGTGAATGTGGCGCAGCCCGTTCGCTTCAGCAGTAAGTTGCAGACCTGCCCTAACTGGGACACCAGGGAGTACAACCCTGACACGGCCCCTGCCTCTCCACCGCTACTGTGTTGCATGAGGGGTTTCCCAAAGCAGCCGTTAGAGACCAGTGGGGGGAATGGATGAGGCTGGTTGGTGACCCACCCAAAGTCCACCAGTAATTTTGGTAGAGAGGGGGTTTTACCATGTTGCCCAGGCTTCCTCAAACTCCTGAGCTCAAGTGATCTGCCCGCTGAGGTCTCCCAAAGTGCTGGAATTACAGGCGTGAGCTACTGCACCCAGCCCTCTGATTCCTTGTCTGCACCTGAAGAGCTTCCCTGCACACTCAGGTGTGCCCTTCATGGAGAGCAGATTGTGCTGTTCAACTTGTAACCATCACAGACAGTGTTGTGGCCATGCTCAGGGGCCAGGGCTGCCTCTCCTTTCCTGTAATCTATATGCCTTTGTGAAGAAGTCATAGTCACACATGCTTACATAATAAATACATGGGCATATGTCCCTAGAAGTTTTACTAGTGCCACACGACATAGATGCACTTTAAAAATGGCATTTTTAGCCACTGCACTCCAGCCTGGGCAACAGTGAGACTGCACCTAAAAAAAAAAAAAATGCATTTTAAATTTTACAACTGGCTTTGCTAAAAATTGTTACTCTTCTCCAGTGTACTAATATGAGGTACCCAACCTTTGAAGGTTAAAGATTCTATAAAACAGGTCTCTGATGATGTTACCTAAGGTGGGCTGTAAATTACGGGGCATTCCTGTGTGTGGGTATAGGAGTAGGAAGTGACAGGTGGAGGAGGTGAGAAGACGCTGGCCAGACTCAGTGGTACTCAGGTACTGGCTGGCTCCTCAGCTTTGCCAGCTGTGGCATCGCCCACGCCTTCTTTTTTTTTTGCCTGTGGGAGGCAGGGGCAGGTCACACGGTGTCACTGCCCTTTCAGCTGTGATCCTTTGAGCTGCCATTTTAGGGGAGCCTCCACTGCAAATGCTCATGTAAGTAGAAAAGGAGAGAGGAGAGTCAGCTCTGGAGGCAGCAGGCTAGCTGGCAGCAGAGGCCAAGAGAGCTGGGCATTGGAATCAAGGCCCAAAGTGAACTGCACAGGAAGTTGTGCTGTGTTGTTAACTCAGAAAATGAAATTAATTTTATAAGACTTAATTCGGCAGCCATTCTTGACTAGTGAATAAATTAAAAGATCTTATAGAAGTGGGAGGAGTCACCAAATATACTTGTATCATTGGTTGAATCTGTGTTTTTGTGAAACAAAAACCCCATTCCTACAATAGGGTTTCAGAAGCAGAGCTTCTCCTCTCCAGCCTCAGTTTCCCCACTTCTCTAGGGATGATTTACAAAGTGTGCCTGTCCCTGATGGAGCACATAAAATTTCCGTTTATGGAGCTGGATCCTAACTTGGGGGACAACTCCCCTTCTGTCCTTCATGTTTCCTAGGGAAGTGCCCGACAGGGTGGCACCACTACGAAGGCACGGCCAGCTGCTACAGGGTCTACCTGAGTGGGGAGAACTACTGGGATGCCGCACAGACCTGCCAGCGCCTGAATGGCTCTCTCGCCACCTTCTCTACAGACCAGGAGCTGCGCTTCGTCCTGGCCCAGGAATGGGACCAGCCTGAGCGGAGCTTTGGTTGGAAGGACCAGCGCAAGTAAGTCCTGGATTGGGGACCTGAGGGGCCTGGAGTCAGAGTCTGATGACCACTGAGCACATAACCTCTGACCACTCAGTAAACTCCTGGGGCACAGCTGGCAGCCAACACGTTAGGAAGGGCAGCGTCGCCCACTGGAAGTGCATAGAGATCCAGGGGTTAGAGTGTGCGTTGAGATGGGCAGAGGGTCCTGGGGGTAGGCTCAGGCTGGACTCTGCTGCTACGTTGTGGGACTGTGGGCCAGCCGTTTTCATTGGTCCCCCTCTGTGGGTACAACTGCAGTTGCTGAGGGAGGGCACAGGGCCTGGGGGTGCTGGCTTGTGAGGGGAGAGCGGCTTGGTGTGGGGCTTCATGGGCCTGGTGTGAGGGGTATGTAATAGGTGGGGGTTTCCCCTGAGAAAGAAAAGGGGGCCTTCACTTAAAGACCCAAGCTGGGTTTTGACCTCACAGTTATGCCCTGTGTGACTGGCAAATCACAAGACTCAGTTGTTTCTCCTTCTACAGCTACAAAGGGAGGAAACTTAACTCTTAGCTCACAGGTTGTTATACTGACCCCACAGGGATAGGCCTGTGAGTCCAGTGGAGAAGTAAGAGGGCATAGCCCAGAGGGCAGGGCAGCCTGTCTCTGAGGACAGCCATGTGGTAGCACAGCACAGGCCAAGGGCAGAGTATCCCATCCCAGGGCTCCTGCCATGCGGGGGGACCTGCTGATGGGCATCTCCAGGCTTGGGGCTGGAAAGCTGGGCCAAGGGGCATGGACTAGGCAGGTACTTTAGCCAGGTCCCAGTGCAAGGTCCCCTCAGTGCTGGGCCTTGTGTGCTCAGGAGCAGGCTACAGGCTGAGGTGGGCTGGCTCTGAGTGGGAAGCTGTGCTAGTGTTTTCAGCCTCCATGCTAGTGGATATTCACAGGGGCTTATGAATTTATTGAGGTGTAATTCACATGACATGAGACTCACCTCTGTAAAGTAGTCACAGACTTGTATTTATGGGGTTTCATGTCTACCAAGAATAAGATTGTTCTTGCTTAAATTGTGAAAGCTTTACTGGTTCAACTCATAAATACAGTCTTGGCAGGAGTTCCCTGAGATAAAACTTTTCCTGCCCTGTGAATTTCTTGTCTTGAATCTTAGTACATTCTAACATGAGTGTTAAATCACTCATGTTAGAAGCTCAGTGTTTTGGAGGTCAGTATAGCTATTAAAACACACAGTCATTGATGGCTGCCTCCATCCTGCCACTGAGGTCTCTGTCTCTGTGCCCTGCAGGTTGTGGGTTGGCTATCAGTATGTCATCACTGGCCGGAACCACTCCTTGGAAGGTCGCTGGGAGGTCGCATTCAAAGGTGAGCCCTTCCGGTCTGTGGGAGTGTTTGAAGCTGGGCAGAGTCACCCTGATTCAGGGGATACCTCTGGGGCCTCCCTTCCTCTCTCTCACCCAGTACTGCTTGGCCTGTAGGGGTGTGTGCAGGGGACATGGAGAGGGTGATCCCCAGTTGCAGTGGGGTCTGTGGTCATGGGGCTAGCGCAGCTGCAAGTCAGACCCTACATTGGGCTGTCGCCATTTCTGGAACTCATTGTTGCTACTTTGGCCAGCTTTCTATATTGTTCCTCCTGCCTTTGAAGTTAAGGACCTTGGAGTATAAAAATGAGCATGCAGAGTGTGCCCCTGGCAGCCTGGAGGGGAGGACAAGCTTGCCAGGACAAAGAAGGTCAGAGGTAGCATCCAGACCTGAAGGAAACTATCAGCCAGATAGACTTAAAATAGGTTGTGCATGTGCGTGTGTGTGTGTGTGTGTGTGTGTGTGTGTGTGTGTGTGTTTCTCAAAGATTTCTTGGAAATACCAAGGTGATATGTGTGTGTGCACGTGTGTGTGTGTGGTTTCAAAGATTTTATGCTGAGCTGCTTGGAAATGCCAAGGCAATATAAAGGTAACATGATGGCTGCTGTTTCCTTTACATTCTCTGGTCTCAGGCTTGGCCTGTCCCTCCTGTCCCATTGCCCTGGCACTGGCGAGCTCCTCCTGGGTTTACCCCAGCAGTGCCCTCTCCAGCTGCTGCCAGGGCCACACTCCCTTGCCCTGCCCCTTGTCAGGCCTGTCTGTTAGGCTATGCTTTGTGCCTCTGACTTGAGCTAGGATTTGGGTTCTTTTCATAAACATATCCCAGTTCTGCTGTTGAAGACTTAAGTGTCTCTGAGAAAGACAAATGAGGAGTGGTGGGCCCAGGGACAGGGTTGAAAAGGGTCAGGGCCTCGGTGGCCAGCTTCCCTGAAGAGAAGAGGGCCCTACAGAGTGGGGGGCCATACCTGGCTCTTGGGACAGGCCGGGAGTAGAGTTGGTGGGTGCAGAGTGCAGCAGATTAGGGCCAACGTGATATCCCCCTCCTGCTTAGGACAGGTGCCACCCTGTTCTTGTGTCCTCCAGTGCCCTCCTGAGAGCCCCACCCACATTTGGATATGAGTGCATTGTTTAGATTGCCCACGGGAACTGGTGACTAATCAATAGCTTCTGGGTTTCCAGACCCTAGAGTCAAAGTTTACCTTGTAGAGGATAATTCTCCTAGTAGCTTGTCCTTTTGACACTGGTGGTGGAAGAGAGGACATGATTCTGAGTGGGATAACAGCACATTCAGAATTGGGGACTTGGGGCCCCATGCTTGATGTGAGGATGGCAAGGGTCCTGGGTGGGCTTTAATGGCCAAGTGCAGCTCAGTGGCTCCACTGAAGCATCAGGAAAGTAAACCTAAAATTTAGAAAAAGATCGAACATATGTGTTGGTGGTGGCAGCCACAGCTGGTGTAGAGTTCCCTGTTTGTGCCACTCAACGTATAAGGGGCCCCGCAGCATCCGGGAGCTCCAAGGGAGTGGCCACGTGCCACTGTCTGTGCTCAGTTAAATGGATTTGGGAACTCTGCTAGCGGATTTAAATAGTGGTCACATAACAAATACTAAAAATAATTCTTCTGCTGCAGGATAACTGGCTCTTAACACAGCTAAACATCATGAGTAGTTCTGGGCTTAAAGAGATTAAAGAAACATAAAACCAAATGTGGCACATGAACTTTGATGGCATCCTGGGTTGGGAGGCTTATAAAAAACTTCAAAAGAACAATTGAAGAAATTTGAGCGTGGCCCTTTGGAGGATTCATTTTCTTAGGTGCAGCAGTAGGACTGTGGTGGTGTGGTTTTAGGAGCCAGCATCCTGGTGTCTGCAGGGGAGGGGCTCCCAGGGTGGTAGGGCAGAGAGGAGCCAAGCAGCAGGGTGCGGTCAGCGCCGAGGCAGCTCGGGTGCACACACTCCTCTTTCCACAGCAGCATCATTTAAAAATTCCCATACTAAAATCACGCTGCAGAGTGAAGCCAGTACTGTGTTTAAAACAAGCGAACAAGAGCACATCCAGCCCAGCACAGCCCAGCCCTGCCCTCCTGCCCAGGGACATGGTCTAAGGGGTTGGCCCCCCCAAAAATACCCAAAAAACCACGGGAAGTGGATATAAGTCTTTTGTTACTAATTCTGAACCCTTCCCTAAGAAAAGATTGTACCTGAGAATATTAGCTCATGATGGTAGGAAGGCCTCATACTAAGATGTTGAAAAATGTTTATTTCATCTACATGTTGTCCACCTTTGCTGTGTTGTGTGAAATGTTCTAGATTGGCACAGTGGCAAGTGAGTGATACCATGGTACATAGACACTACTATACCCATGTGTCGGCACCCTGCATACACATTGGAAGTTGGGAAGTCATTTCCACCGGGCTCCTGTGCACCTTGGCGGAGCACTCTCCAGCCGCTCCCCGAGGTGCACACCAGCCTGTAAGCCCTGTCCAGGGTGCCAAGATCCTGCAGGTTTGACAGCACCAGGTCATGGTGTGCCCTGGAGACAGAACTACTGCTGCCGCTGCCACTCCATAAGACATGAGGCCAACATTTTTGTAACATTTGTGCAGAAAGTTTGAAAAAATACAGATCGTTGTCTAGGGAGAATCATCTACACCGCCCTATGTGCTGCTCCCAGGGCCTTGTGTCAGCACCAGCAGTGTGGCTTCTGTCTGGTGAGTCATACTTGATATTTACGTTAAAACAGAAAAATGGAAACACCGTATGTTTAATGTGTCCACATGTTGTGTCACTTGCTCATTTGAGATCACTCAGTGCCTGGCCCTCATTTTTCCCCCGTGGTGTCTTAGCACGCACATTGCAGGTCGGCTGAGCTCAGGAGGTGTGTGACTTAGTAGAAGCCTTCTTCTCTCCCCAAAATCTTGTGACCAGTCCTTCATGGTCTCTGTCTTCTTTCCCTGGTGCCGTACCCAAGGGATTATAGGGTGTTGCCCCCTGAGGCCAGCAGTCAGGGCTGTGGTCCTGGGCCAGGCTGTGGTCCTGGGCCAACCTGTGGGACCTAGCGTCTAGAAGCCTCAGTCAGCAATGAGGGAGGGGTCAGGCTGCCCTTGTAGACACTTGCCCTCTGGGTAAAGTGACCATTGGGCTAGGATGGGGTCAGCTGGGGTCAGGCTGCAGTTCCTGGAGGGAAGATAGCCCCAGAGTGGGGCATTCGAGAAAATCTGGACTGCCCTTGGTGGGCCCTGAGTGCAGGCTCATTCTGTGGCTGCCAAGGTGACAAGACAGGAACGGGAGGTTCTTTGAGGACTCAGAAAAGTGAGTGAAGGTCTCTCCCCGCCAGGAACAATGGGGACCTGGGGGGTCGGGGATGGTTCTTCAGGCTCGGGGAGCAGGGCCAGACATGGAGGTGGCAGTGGTTGCTCACGAATGCGAGAGGAGATGTGGTAGAAAGGTAATCAGATGACATTCAGATGCCCTCGCCTGTCAGACTCGAGAGCAGGCCATCCTCTGGTGGCTGGTGACAGCCCAGCCCAAGGTTCCCATCAGAGCCTTGCCCACAGCTTATGTGTGGACACATGGGAGGGGCACCTGGAAACTTGCTGCCGCCTTGTTGAGGTGAGGACTGGATCTGCTGGGGTGGCAGGAGGTGAGGAGGAGCATCTTGGAGGGAGGCCTGGGAGGAGGGCTCTGCAGAAGGAACTGCTCTCAGTCACTCTGGTGGCCAGGGCGGCTGCTCACAAGGCCTTTCTCCGGGACAAGGATCTTCAGGAAGAGAGGGATGTTTGAGGTAAGGGGGTGTCCAGAAGGCAGTGGGAGGCTCTGAAGAAAAATCTGCAGGAGTCATCCCCAGTGCAGTATAGTGAGGCCTCCCAGCTGCTCTCACACCTTTGGAACATGTCTAGGATCTCGTCTCCTGGCACCAGTTTTGCAGCCCTAACCTGGACCTGACACTCGATCATTCCTCACCTGATTGTGCTAGTGGCCTCTGTTTGGTCTCTTGGCTCCAGCCCCACCACTCCCCACATAGCTGCCGGGGTACCTTTTCACCTCTGCTCCCTCGTTCACAGCTGTCATTTCTCATAGCAGTCACAGTTCCATCAAGGCCAGCAGCCCCTTTCCTCACTACCCTCATCACCTACCACTCCCCAGCCTCTTCTCCAGCCCCAAAGGCTGCCTTATTCGTGGCTGCCACTGTGACTACTTCCAGGGACACTCCAAGGGTGAACACCTGTCCCCTTTGCAAGGCTGCACTTTGGGTAGGCATGCTGTCTCTGCCTGACTAGCCCCCATCACCCCTGGACGCACAGCTGCCAGCATCTTCCTTGGGCAGGGGTGCTGCACAGGTGCCAACGCAGCTCGCTTCAAGACGGGAGCACTGTGTGGCTCACTGGGCCCTGGCCTGGAGTCCCGCACGAGCCCTGTTTTGCTGGTTGCCTGAGCCACTCTCTGACTTGGCTGTGCCTCAGTCCAGGTAGCTTTTGAGGACAGATGCTGGGTCCCAGGACTCTGCCCTGAAAGGTCATTTGTGGCCTTGGTCTAAGCTCTGCCATCACATACTGTAGTTGTGCCCAGGAACTCCGGGCTGGCAACGAGCTTTAGCGCTCAAGATTTTTTGTTTGTTGAAGGTTCGGAGGAACCTGTTTGGTTTTCATCCTATGGGACAAGAAGCCAAATAGTGAAGAACATAGTGTCTAAGAGGGGAGGGGCTCTGCTTAGGTGAGAACGCATCTGTGGGAGATGAGGAGGGTGTGTGGGGGCTTGAGGACCTGGAGGAAAGGTGGGGTGGTGTACAGCATGATGGTGCTGACACCCACTGTTAGTAGCAGTGGAGATGAGCCCTCGGGGTGGTGTAGGGTAGCGACTCCAGATAGTGGGCCTCTTCCCTGCCCTGCTGTGGGTCTGATACATGCAGATGAGGCAGACAGGGTGCTGGGCCTGGATGTCCCTAGGAAGGAAGCGCAACTGTTGCGGTGGCTGTCTGCTGGCCCAGCACAGGCCTTGCAGGTCTCCATGTTTCCTGAGAGCTGTCCTCCTGCCCATGGCAGGGCACCATGTGTCCACAGGCCCATAGCATAGGCCTGTCTCCAGACTCGCTGGCTCTTTTGAGGCAGAGCCCCATGTTTAGTGCCAGTGTAAACAGAGCTCTAAAAGATGCAGGTGGGAATGCTGGAGGCTTGTAAAAGGGGTGAACTGCACTGCCATCTTAGAAGGAGGAGAGCGCCAGGTGTGCCTTCATTATTTTACTTTCTGGGAAAGGTTGCTTTGTGTTTCCAGTGATCCTGGTTGGGTGAGCCTCAAGAAATCGTGGTGGCCAGACTGGAAGGGCTGTGCAGGGGAGAAAGTGGGCCCTAGGGCTGGCTGTGCCATGCCCTGGGTGTGGTTAGAGCCCACCTGGAACCTTGCAGAAGAGAGGTTTGGAGGTTAGCAGTCCCCAACCCTCACTCTCTCCATGGCGAGGGTACCTGGTTTCTAGCTGCTTTGTGCCTAGCGTAGACAGGCAGGAGCTGACTGGGCGACAGTTTCCTTTGAGCTGAGAGAGGTCCCCCAGAGCCAGTGCTTCCCAAGTGTTCCCAGCAGCCAGCTGGCAGCAGTGCCAACCTACACCAATGCTACCTGACAGCGCCTTCCTCATGAGTGCTGGGTGGGCTTTCTGAGTCCTCTGTTTACGACTGAGTGTTCTGTCCTAACGGAGAACTTCCCTGCCTATTTCCCCTGTCCATTCCCCTGTTTGCATTTTAATCCAATGTGCTATAATCCATTACTTTGTTATTCATGCTGTCGCTCTAACTTTAAATGCCGCCCACTAACCCTGATCAAGCACCCTCTTCTGGTGCTCAGGTTGGCACTTACTGCTACCCAGGGTTGGTGGCCTTTGTGCTTGCAGGCTCCAAGGAGTGGCCCCTGCTGGGCCCAGCACCTGGGGTGACTGCCAGGAGGTTGGGGAGTCCCGAATGAACACCTGGCCACAGTGACCACCAGCATTTGGCAGCCCAGACCCTGTGGTTGATTCTGTCTGACACCATGGTCCCCTGATTGAGGTCTGTACAACTTGTCCTCTGACATGATGTCCAGCCCTATCTTTTATCTCCCCCACAGGCTCCTCAGAGGTGTTCCTGCCCCCAGACCCCATCTTTGCTTCAGCCATGTCTGAGAACGACAACGTGTTCTGTGCCCAGCTCCAGTGCTTCCACTTCCCCACCCTGCGGCACCACGACCTCCACAGCTGGCACGCCGAGAGCTGCTACGAGAAGTCTTCGTTTCTGTGTAAAAGAAGTAAGCCCCCTTGAGTTAGCCTTTTTCGGGAATGTCTGGGCCTTGGTGTCACCTTCTTGGACCCTGAGTTCAGGGTTTCTGAGGCAGAACCTGATTTGCTGTGTTGTGGTGGATGCCCTTCACCATCTCACACCTTGTTCTCAGGGCCCGTTTGCAGCTCTGTGACCAGGGCAGCTGGTCAGCATCTTAGAGCCCACCGTTCTCTTTCCCAGGGAAGAGACGATCATCCCTGTCCTCCCGTTTGCAGTGTTGTTAAGCAATTAAATGGGAATGAGGACCCAAAGACTTGGCAATCTGTGGCGTCTCTGGAGCATCTGAGTTCATTGGTCACCTCCCCCGCACACACTGTTGGTCCTTCTGCCATCCTTATCTCTGCTTCTCTGTTCACCTTGCCAGTGTATGGTGTTTTTGTTTTTGTTGTGTTTTTTAAGCCAGTTGACTCTTCATTGCTTTTCAGGGGCAGGGCCTTAGGAGCTCTTGGCGGGGTCGGTCCCCTTCCTCTTCACCATCACAGGCTCCTGGCTTTGCAGGATGGCGCTGGCCCTGGGATGGCAGCTGTACACAGGTTGGGGGTCTTTGTTCTTGCAGATCGTGTGTCTGATGTTGTCGAGTATGGTGCAGGTGTTCTTGTTGACGGTGGTCCTCTCGTCAGAGGTGGCTGGCTTCCACTAGCCAGATCTCCACTCCATGACCACCACCACACCTTTGCCATCAGCTGCCAGCTCTACACTCACAGTCCTGTGGTGGTGAATCAGCTCGTTATAGCGCAAGGAGTTGTATGTAGCCTTCAAGTCCTCAGGCTCAGTGCTGTGGGTCTGCTTATTCCTCTTGATGGGGCCCAGCCATTCCTCGAGACCATCCATTGCAGATGTGCAGACAGGGCGGTGGCCTTTCCCAGGCGGCTGGCAAACGAGAGGGCTTCATGATAAAACTTGACAGCTGGTATTATGACTTCCTCTGCCTAGTTTTTGCCTATTTTGCCTATTTTTTACCCTTTTCATGTAAATTTTAGTTTTCTGATCTCCTTTATTGGTTCTCTTAGTTTGTGGATTTTCGTAGATTTTCTATTTAGATGGGTGTTTCTTCTTTCAAGTCTTTGCCATTTATCTATTTATTTACATTTATTAAAGATGTGGTTTTACTATGTTGCCCAGTCAGCTCTTCTTGCTACAGTCTCCAGGACAGTGTTGATTAGAAATGGTGGTAGTGAGCATACTTGTCTTCTCAACAATAAAAGAGAATGCTATTTTAGTGTGTCAACATTCTAGGGAATGCCTTCTATGAGATTTTAGAATGTACCTTTATAAAGTCAAGGAAGTACCTTTCTATTCCTAGGTTGCTGGGAATATTTATATTACGAAAGTGTATTGATTTTTATTAAATGTTTTTAATGCATTTTATTGGGCTTATGTGTTTTTTCTTCTTCGATTTGTTCAATCATTATTTTATAGAATAGATTTTCTGATGTTAAACCATCCTCATGGTTTTTATATATATATTATATTACTAGATTTGGTTTGCTGATATTTAGAATTTTTGAAACTCTTTTAAGAAATGAGGTTGGCCTGTTACATTTTTTTCTATGCTCTTCTTGACTCTTCTTTTCTTTTCTTTTTTTTTTTTTTTTTAAGGTAGGGCGTTAATATGTTGCCCAGGCTAGAATGCAGTGGCTAATCACAGCCACGATCATAGCACAGTATAGTTTTGAACTCTAGGCTCAGGTGATCCTTCTGCCTCAGCCTCCCAAGTAGCTGGGACTACATTGACCCGTTTCTGTACTACACTATATTAGTTTTATAAAATGAGTTGGCAGACTTTATTTTATTGTTGTCTAAATGCATTTGTACAAGTTAGAGATAACCTTGTCCTTGAGTGTTTGATAGAACCCACCTTATAGGACCATTGGGGCCGGGGAGGGAGACTTCTGTAACTTGTTGATTTAAAAATAATTTCAAGCTTATGGAAAAGCTAGAATAATACAAGGAACTTCCTTTCTTGTACTCTTTACACAGACTCACCAGTTACAGTATTTCAGTTTTACCATATTTGCTTTATCATTCAGTTTCTCTGCATATTTTTTCTGAATTATTTCGGAGTAAACTGAAGATACTGTGGACCTTAAGCCTTATGTACTTCAGTGTGTATTTCCTAAGAACAAGGACACTTTCTTATGTACCCACACTATATGGATCAAAATCCGGACATTTAACATGGATGCAGCACCACACAGTAATCCATAATCTATTATTCCAGTTTTTTCAGTTGTTCCAATGATATCCTTTATAGCTATTTTTTTCCTGGTCCAGAATCATGAATTGCATCTAGTCATTATGTCTCTTGGATTCTTTTAGTTCTTCAGTTTTAGTAATTTCTGTTGGCCTGAATTCAGGTTTATTAATTCTTTCCTTGGCTATGTCAAGTCTGCATGAGCCCATTGAAGGCTTTCTTCATCTGTTCCGTTCATTTTGTCTGTTTTTTTAATTTCTAGGATTTTCATTTGATTCTTAAAGTTTCCATCTCTCATCCGAATTTCCCATCTAATCTTGTATATTGTCCACCTTTTCCATTGGAGCCTTTAACAAATTAATCATAGTGATTTTAAATTCCATGTGGGAAAGTTTCTTCATTTGTGTCATATTTGAGTCTGGTTTTGTTGATTGTTTTGTCTCTGGAGCATGGTACTTTTTTCTAGGCTTTCCGTTGGAAATCTGACATCTTGTGTAGGACAATAGAGACTGAGTTCAGTAGTTTTGGTGCTTGCGGTGGCCATGCCTTTCCCTCCACTAGGCCCTTCTTGTGGGGAGGGCTTACTACAGTGAGGGGCATTAATCTGGGCTGGGCTTGGGGTTCCTTGGCACTGTAGTTGCCCTCAGTGTACCTCAGGCTTTCATATTCAGTAGCGTTGATGTTCGGGGTGGAGGCTGGTTTGCCCAGAGGGTTTTTCTTGATGTCTGCTCTACCCTCCACTTTAGATCAACTCTTTTGGGCCACATTTCTAGAGTCTGTCTCTTGCGGCCCACTGAGCGGTAGTCCACTGTGTGACTCAAGGCTTGTTAGCCTGCAGATAGTAGGGGCTGATGTTCTAATTGTACCTCAGCCTGAGGCAGGCCCAGTGCCCTGAGTATCCAGGGTAGAGCCTTCACAAGTGCTTCTGACGCTCCTCCAGCTGGAGTTGGGTCCAGCATAGTGGCTTTCACCAGGGCCCTAAATGCTCCCGGGTATGCTCTGATGAGAGGCAGGCTGACTAGAAGTAAGGCAGTGGAGGTGATTGGTTGGGGAACATATTGACTATCCCTGGTGGGTTTTCTGTTGGAAGTATGGACACAAAATAGAGAAGCTGGTGGCCACTGACCAGACCCTGACTGCCCTAGACTGGTTGCCACAGAAGTGGTAGGCTAGAGGTCTTTGGTCATCTGTGATCTGGCCTTTGTCAGGTGTCACAATGAGGCAGAAACGTTCTATAAGTGCAATCATATAGTCTGCAACCTTTTGGAGTTGTCTTTTTTCACTCATAATTCCCTGGAGAGTCATCCAAATTGTTACTTATATTAATAATTTGTTCATTTTGTGGTGGGGTGGGTGCAAGAAAGTCTCTGTCACCCTGAAGTACAGTGGTATAATCACTGCTCATGGCAGCCTCAACCTCCTGGGCTCAGGCGAACCTCCCACCTCAGCCTCCTGAGTAGCTGGGACCACAGGGTCATGCCACTGTGCCCAGCTTATTTTTGTATTTTTTTCGTAGAGACAGAATTTTGCCATGTTGCCCAAGCTGGCTCAAACTATAGGCATCAAGTGTTGAAGGACACCTGGAGTGATTCCAGTTTTTGGCTATTACAATGAAAGCTTCCGTGAACATCCACATACAGGTTTTTGTGCAAACATACTTTCTTTTTTTCATCTGTTACCCAGGCTGGAGTGCAGTGGCACAGTCTTGGCTCACTGCTTCTGTCTCCTGGGTTCAAGCAATTCTCATGTCTTAGCCTCCCGAGTAGCTGGGATTATAGGCATGTGCCACTACGCCCAGCTAATTTTTGTCTTTTTAGTAGGGACAGGTTTTGCCATGTTAGCCATGCTGGTCTTGAACTCCCAACCTCAAATGATCCACCCACCTCCGCCTCCCAAAGTGCTGGGATTACAGGCATGAGCCACCGCACCGGGCCACAAATGTGTTTTCAGTTTTCTGTGATAGATGCCCAGGATTGCAGTTGCTTGGTTGTATCATAGTTACATGTTTAGTTTTTAAAGAAACAAGCAAAGTGTTTAGCAGAGGGGCTATACTAATTTATAGTCCACTAACAACGCAGGACTGATCTGATTTCTCCATATCCTCCCCAGCACTTAATGTTTTCACTATTTTTCATCTTAGCCCTTCTATTAGGTACGCAGATATGTATGTAGGTATGTCACTCCTTATGGTTTCAATTTGCTTTTCCCTGAGGCTAATGATGTTAAAACCTTTTCATGTTTCACATGCTTATTTGCCATCTATGTGTTCTCTTTGTTGTTCATGTTATCTTTCCATTTTCTCTTTGCATTGTTTTTTCATTTTGTTTTGAGGAAGGGTCTTGCTCTGTCACCCAGGCTCAAGTGCAGTGGTGCAATCATAGTTCACTGTAACCTCTAGCTCCTGGGCTCAAGCAGTCCTCCCACCTCAGTCTCCTGAGTAGCTAGAACTGTAGGTGTGCACCATCGTGCCTGGCTACGTTTTTTATTTTCTCTAGTGTCACTATTTGCCTAGACTGGCCACAAACTCCTGGCCTCAAGTGAGCATCTCCTTGACCTCCCAAAGTATTACAGGTGTGAACCAATAATCTGTTTTGTGCTTTTTTTTTTTCTTTTTAACTGTTGAGTTTTGAGAATTCTTTATGTATTCTAGATAACAGTCCTTTGTCGGATATGTAGTTTTTTTTTTTTTTTTTTCAGAGTTGTAAAATGAGTTTATTGAAGAAGGTTCTTAGGAAGGCAAAAACTTTTGTCATTAAAAAAAGTTTTGTTTTTTCATGCTGTATGATAAAGAGGCTACAGAGTTATAAGCTTCTTCCTAGTGGAATTCTCTGGTATAGCACAGTGTAGTCATTTCTGCAATTCTAGAATAAATAAAAAGTCTCTTCTATGCTTATCTTCAAAAGCAATGAATAACAGAAGATGGCATAAAAGAAGGCATTTTTCCCTTTTCATTCCGTAGTTTTGGAGCCAGTAGTTTGCAAATATTTTTTCTAGTCTGTAGCTTGCCTGCATCCTCTTCACTTAGGCTTTCAGGAACAAAAGTTTTGTTGTTGGTGTTTTCCTGGCAATATAAGTTTACCTAAAGAACAAAAGTTTGTAATTTAAGTGAAGTCCTAGTTATTAGTTTCTCCTTTTATGGATTATTCTTTCTTTTTGGCTCACTGCCACATCTACCTTCTAGGTTCAAGCAATTCTTGTGCCTCAGCTTCCCAAGTAGTTGGGATTACCAACATGAGCCACCGTGGCTGGCTAATTTTTATATTTTTAGTAGAGAGGGGATTTCACAATGTTGGCCAGGCTCGTCTCAAACCCTTGACCTCAGATGATCCACCTACCTCAGCCTCACAAAGTGCTGGGATTACAGGCATAAGCCACTGCACCCAGCCTCCTTTTTTGGATTATTCTTTTGGTGTCAAGTCAAGTACTCCGCCTAGTCTTGCATTTCCTCTGTAGCTTTTTTTTCTAAAATTTTAATCATTTTCCACTTTCCATTTAAGTCTAGGAGGCATTTTGAGTGAATTTTTTTTTTTTTTTTTTTGGTGAGACGGAGTTTCGCTCTTGTTACCCAGGCTGGAGTGCAATGGCGCGATCTTGGCTCACCACAACCTCCGCCTCCTGGGTTCAGGCAATTCTCCTGCCTCAGCCTCCTGAGTAGCTGGGATTATAGGCACGCGCCACCATGCCCAGCTAATTTTTTTGTATTTTTAGTAGAGACGGGGTTTCACCATGTTGACCAGGTTGGTCTCGATCTCTCGACCTTGTGATCCACCTGCCTCGGCCTCCCAAAGTGCTGGGATTACAGGCTTGAGCCACTGCGCCCGGCTTGAGTGAATTTTTTAATCAGGTGTGACATTTAGGTCAAGGTTCTTTAGTCCAGTATAGCTTTGCTCCCACACACCACCTTTGTGTCATTCTTAGCAAATCTGTTACATTTTTCTGTGTTACAGACCCAACACTACATTCCATACATACTTTATACAATTACTTATTTTTATTTTTTGAGCCAGAATTTCCCTCTTGTTGCCCATGCTAGAGTGCAATGGCGCAATCTTGGCTCATCGCAGCCTCCACCTACCAGGTCCAAATGATTCTCCTGCCTCAGCCTCCCTAGTAGCTGGGATTATAGGCACCCGCCACAGCACCTGCTAATTTTTGTATTTTTAGTAGAGATGGGGATTCACCATTTTAGCCAGGCTGCTCTTGAACTCCTGACCTTGTGATCCAACCACCTCAGCCTCCCAAAGTGCTAGGATTATGGGCGTGAGCCACCACACCCAGCCTTACAATTGCTTTTTAAATCAGCTAAGAGAATAAAGTAGGAAAACTATGCATGCAGGCTATAATTTATGATCATATGATTGCCTTTACTGTTGCCCTTGAGTTTCTTGTGTGTATTCAAATTATTCTCTGGGGTTCGCATACTATTAGCCTGAAAATGTCCTTTAGTATTTTTTTTTTTTTTTTTTTTTTTTGAGACAGAGTTTCGCTCTTGTTACCCAGGCTGGAATGCAATGGCGCGATCTCGGGTCACCACAACCTCCGCCTCCCGGGTTCAGGCAGTTCTCCTGCGTCAGCCTCCTGAGTAGCTGGGATTACAGGCACGCGCCACCATGCCCAGCTAATTTTTTGTATTTTTAGTAGAGACAGGGTTTCACCATGTTGACCAGGATGGTCTCGATCTCTTGACCTCGTGATCCACCTGCCTCGGCCTCCCAAAGTGCTGGGATTACAGGCTTAAGCCACCGCGCGGCCTTTAGTATTTCTTATAAAGTGGGTCTGCAAACAATTTCTTTCAGTTGTTGTCTGTCTGGGAAAGGTTATTTTACTTTCATTTTTCAAAAGGTATCTCTGCTGGTTATGGATCTTGGTTGATGGTTTCCTGTGAGCAGTGATCCCACTGCCCCAGCCTCTGTTGTTTCTGCCGACAAGTCAGTTGTTTGTCTTGGGTTTCCCTTGTTAGTAATAAGTCATTTCCCATTTGTTGCTTTTCATAGTTCTGCCTTGTCTTTCACTTTGAGCATTTTCACTCTGATGTGTCAGTTTGTGGCTCCTTTGCATTTCTCCGAGGTGGAGTTTGTTGAGCTTCCTGGATGTGTAGGTTACTGTTTTTCTATCAATTGGAGTAGTTTGCAGCTGTCCTTTGACGTTTTTTTCTGCTTTTTTCTCTCTCCTCTCCATTTGTTACTCCTATTTCACATATGTTGGTGTGCTTCATGGTGTTCCATATTTCTCTGGGAACTCTGTTCATTTTTCTTCATTCTTTTTTCTCTCTTTTAGCCAGGGAATAATTGTATGTGAGTATCTTGCCCTGGGAGTTCCTGACCACATGGGTGACCTCTCAGTTGTTGTCTGTCTGGGAAAGTTTATTTTACTTAAAAAAAAGATTGGGGTCAAAAAAGATTTGATTTTGACCCCAGTCTTTTTTTTTTTTTTTTTTTTTGAGATGGAGTTTCGCTCTTGTTACCCAGGCTAGAGTGCAATGGCGCGATCTCGGCTCACCGCAACCTCTGCCTCCTGGGTTCAGGCAATTCTCCTGCCTCAGCCTCCTGAGTAGCTGGGATTACAGGCACGCACCACCATGCCCAGCTAATTTTTTGTATTTTTAGTAGAGACGGGGTTTCACCATGTTGACCAGGTTGGTCTCGATCTCTCGACCTCGTGATCCACCCGCCTCGGCCTCCCAAAGTGCTGGGATTACAGGCTTGAGCCACCGCGCCCGGCCCCAGTCTTTTTTTTAAGACAGAGTCTCGTGCTGTCTCCCAGGCTGGAGTGCAGTGGCGTGATCTCAGCTCACTGCAACCTCTACCTCCCGGGTTCAAGAGATTCTCGTGCCTAAGCCTCTGAGTAGCTGGAATTACAGGCTCATGCCATCACGCTTGGCTAGCTTTTTTATTTTTAGTAGAGACGGGGTTTCACCATCTTAGCCAGGCTGCTCTTGAACTCCTGACCTTGTGATCCACCCAACTCAGCCTCCCAAAGTGCTGGGATTACAGGTGTGAACCACCATGCCCAGCTAACTCGAGTCTTAAGTGAGGCATAGACCTGTGGTTGTTAAATACCAGAAGAATCTTTTTCTAGACATCCCCACCCCATTTGGAGACTGGAACAAGCTACCTTCTCATGTATCTTTGCCTTTCACTGAGCGTGGGTCTCTTGTGGGCTCCTTTATCCCTTGTCTCTTCCTCCAGGCCTTTGCAATGTCTGCCTAGCAGTTGAAGACTGGGTTTTTAGCCATGGCCATTCCTCTTACTCTTGTCCCAGGTCAGCTCTGTACAGAGTGTGCCCCAGGTCCAGGGGACTGTCTTCCCAAGCAGAACTGTCAGCTTCCTTAGACACATTCTGATTTTAAAATGGTTAATACTCATAACAGCTGCATCTTAGAATTGAGGAAATCTCATGAGTAATCTACTTTGGCAACTTCAAAGCAAAACACTTCTGCAGGGACCCTGGAGTCCGACATTCTGCTTCATCCTGGCTCTCTGGCCTCCATTTGCCCTGGTCAGATGTGCTTTGTCCTAACAGTGTGTTGTAGTAACTGTTTTTGGACAGCCACTCCCTGTGTCATGGGGCAGATCCATGGTATTCCAGCAATAGGAAGACTCTTACCACAATCTGGCCAACTCTTTAGTTGCCTTATTCGTTCCCCAGGCCCAAATGGGGAAGGTCAGCTTATATCAGATGGTGCAGCAGTGATGGCAGCGTTTGCTCACAAAGCTGTCTCAGAGGCTTTGATGCCACTACTCTAGTGGGAATGTCTCACGTGATCCCTCAAGCTGCCTCATTCCCGTTCTAAGGTAACAGGTAGCATTCACAGGCCCACATGGGGAAGCTCCTGTTTTTAGCAACGTATACATCTGTACACAATGGATGCTCATTGCAGGTCAAACATGTGTTGACATCAAGGACAACGTGGTGGATGAAGGGTTCTACTTCACCCCTAAGGGGGACGATCCATGCCTGAGCTGCACCTGCCATGGAGGGGAGCCTGAGATGTGCGTGGCTGCTCTCTGTGAGAGGCCCCAAGGCTGTCAGCAGTACCGCAAGGACCCCAAAGAGTGCTGCAAGTTCATGTGTCTGGACCCAGGTGAGACTCTTGATAGTAGGTCCCAAGCCACCCTCCCTATTTGGAGCGGGAGGCTGGGGGTCCCTTTGCTACCTCAGTGATGAGGACTCAGGAGAATTTATGGAGCATGGCACAGCAGCAATGGCAGCTTTTGCTTACAGAGATATCTCAGAGACTTTGATGTCACTACTCTAGTGGGTGTGTCTGACACAACTCCTCCAGCTGTTCCTTTCCATTCTGGGTTGACAGCATCCACAAATGAACTTGAGTGTGGTGGTTTGTTCACAAATCACTGAGAGCTTCAAACCTGTCTTCTCTTTTTAAGACTCCAAGCTAGACTTCCTTTTTTTTTTTTTTTTTTTTTTTAAATAGACAGAGTCTTGCTCTGTTGCTCAGACTGGAGAGTGCAGTGACGCGAATTCAGCTCACTGCAACCTCCGCCTCCTGGGTTCAAGCCATTCTCCTGCCTCAGCCTCCCCAGTAGCTGGGATTACAGGTGTGTGCCACCATGCCAGACTAGTTTTTTTATTTTTAGTAGAGACAGGGTTTCGCCATGTTGTTCAGGCTTGTCTCGAACTCTTGACCTCGAGTGATCCACCTACCTCAGCCTCCCAAAGTGCTGGGATTACAGTCATAAGCCACCGCACCCAGCCTAGACTTCTAATTTACATCCACATTGGAGCTCTTCCTGTTCTCTAGTATGATGATACAGAGGGTAGTGATGGTTGTTATTGCTTGCAGTCATCCGTTTTACATTAGAATCTTCAAGAAAAAGATGAAATATTATTCTCAGTTTCGAGATCAAACTCACCACCACCAGGTGTGGCTTTAAGGTAGACACTACATGGAATCCGATCTCTGGGTAATCCTCTCCCTTTCACTTGCAAAAAGAGAGGGGCAGGTGGGCCGCTGCTCTCTGAGATATTAACACCCCTTACACTCCAGGGGCATGCTTTGTCATTCTGCACACCGGTGCAGCTGCAGCTCTGTGTGAATTTAGATCTCAAGAGAAATGTAAATCAAAAACATGAGTTTCTTTCTTTCTTGGGTGCCACAGTAAAAGCGTGACATCATGGGGACTTGTGGAAGCCCCTGGACTTGTGGCCCCTGTAGAAGAGCAGCTTAGGCAGGGTGTGGTGGCCATCTCTGTCTCCAGGGGCCCTGTGGAAGAGAGGCTGCAGCCAGAGGCTGGGTCACAACAGCAAGAGCTGCCTCTGAGTGGAATGCTGTCAGTGTCCCTCCACACCAGGAGGGCTGCTGGGTGGGAGGACAGAGCCGTCCTCCAGAGGCCGTGCCTGAGGCTGGGTGAAAGTGGGCACTCTAGCATGTAGCATCAGACATGTACAGTTGACTGTGGTGAGCACAAAGGCTACATTTGCAGCCAAGCTTACCAGAGGACCCAGAGTTAGAGGGTGATGCTTGGACTCCATTCTGCAGGGCAGTTTTCTCCTCATATAGGGTGCATGCCTGTTTAGGGCCATAAGAAAAACCAGTTGTGTGCTTACCAAGTTCCTTGTGCCCAGCTACAGAACTTCAAACCTCTAGCTTAGTGACTGGGTACTAGAGTCAAACTTTATTCCCAAGCCATGCTACCTGGACTCCTGGTTTCATTTCTCAGGGGTCTATCAGTGCTGCCTTGCTAGTGGGTCCAAGCTTTATAAGAATGCCCGGATGTGTACAAGGATGACCTATTTGTGGGCAGGTATGGCCTAAGGAGCCTTCCCATTCCCAAGGACTTCTTAGCAAAGCAGGGCCCTTAGTGCATCTGGATGGGCCCAGAGCAGCCGCAGCCCTCTCTCCTGCACAGCCAGAGCAGCTTAGCTGGGCCCTGCTTTGTCCACGCTGTAGCCATGCTTCCATGGGCTCCTGGGAAGTGCACATACTGCATCAAGAACCGAGGCACTATCACCAAAACTGGAGACTCTGGGAATAGGATGTTATGAGTTAAGCATCAGAATGTCCCTTTCAATGAGCTAAGAGTGTCTGCTGTTGCCACCTTGTCATCATGCTCAAGGTCAAAGCCAGTGCCAGAAGGCAAGAAGATACGAAAAAGCATCCAGGCCAGAGGGAAAGAAGTGAAACCATCTCTCTTTGCAGATCATGATTGCATAGAAAATCCTGGGGAATCTACAGGAAAGTTACTAGAACTAGTAAGTGTGCTTAAGCAAGGTCTCCAGATAGAAAGTCAATATAACAAAAATTCATTACATTTATATAATCTACCTGTAACAGTTGAAAATTGAAATTTTTGAGAAAAGTACCATTTATAATAGCACCAAAAACCATGAAATACGCAATTAAAATATAAAATATGTGCACATTTTGTTTGCCGCAAACTGTTACAACACTTTAAAAAAAAAATCAAAGAAATGAAAGATAGCATGTTCATGGATCAGGTGGCTCAATATCATTAGGAGATTAATTCTTCCCAAATTGTAGATTCAGTATAATCCCAACCAAAATTCTAGCAGACATTTTTGTAGGTATTGACAGGCTAATTCTAAAAGTTAGGTGGGGCCATGTGCAGTGTCTGACACCTGTAATCCCAGCACTTTGGGAGGCCAGTGAGGGTGGATCACTCGAGATCAGGAGTTTGTAACCAGTCTAGCCAATGTAGAAAAGCCCCATCTCTACTAAAAATACAAAAATTAGTTGGGCATGATGGCTCAATACCAGCTACTCGGTAGGCTGAGGCAGGAGAATCACTTGAGCCTGGGAGGTGGAGGTTGCAGTGAGCCAAGATGACGCCACTATACTCCAGCCTGGGTGACAGAGCGAGACTCTGTCACAGAAAATAAAAATAAAATAAAATAAAAATTAGGTGGGCTGGGTTCAGTGGCTTATGCCTGTAATCGTAGCACTTTAGGAATTGGAGGCAGGAGGATTGCTTGAGGGCAGGAGTTCAAGACCAGTCTGGCCAATATAGCAAGACCCACCTCTTAAATAATAAAAAGGTAAAAGTTAAGTGGAAAGGCAAATTAATTAGAATACCAAAGTAGTTTTTACAAAGGACAAAGTTGGAAGATCCATGCTACCTAATTTGTAAGTTACCGTACAGCCATAATAATCACAACAGTGTGGTATTGATAAAGAAATAGATGTATAGATCAATGGAACAGAATAGTCCAGAAACAGTTCCACACTGCATATAATCAAGTGATCTTTCTCTCTCTCTCTCTCTCTCTCTCTCTCTCTCTCTCTCTCTCTCTAAGACTAGTCAAGTGCAGTAGTGAGAATAGGAAAAGAGTAGAACAAGGAATTTGATCTATTTCTGACTGAACAATCAATTGAGATAACTCGCTACCTTCAGATCAGCCATCTTTGACAGGCCAACATCTTTGACAAAGGTTTAAGGGCAGTTCAGTGGAGAAAGGATAGTCTTTCAATGACTGGTACTGGAACAGCGGGACATACATATGCCAAAAAATAACCTTACAGTGTGCCTCCTACTGTATGTAAAATTTACTCAAAATGATCATAAACGCAGCTGTAAAACCTTGAACTATAAAGTTTCTAGGAGCAAACACAGGAGAGAAATCTTTGTGACCATGCGTTAGGCAACATTTTTAGCATGATCCTTAAAAGAAAAAAATGGACAAATTTGGCTTCATCAAAATTTTCTGCTATTTGGAAGATGGTGTTAAGGAAATGAAAAGATAAGCTCCTGACTGAGTCAAAACAAATATTTGCAAAACACAAATCAAAGGTCTTGTATTCAGAATACATAAAAACTGTAAAAACTCAGTAATAAGAAAACAAAACAACTCTATTGAAAAAATAGCCTTAGAAAAATATTTAAATTATTATACTTTACCAAAGAAGATACAGGATGGCAGTCAGGCACCTGAAACAATGCTCAGTATTGGCCATTAGGGAAACAAACTAAATCCACGTGGCGTACTATCCATGTGCTCAAAAGGCTAAAATAATGAAACTGACAGCGCCAAGTGCTGGCCGAGGTGCACAGCAGCTAAAACTCATGCTGCCCTCTGCCCTTTCTTGCTCTGCTGCCATCAGGCAGCCCTGCTATGATGAGGTGTTTGGCCAGTGCAGCCTCCAGGCACAGAGCCCACTTTGGGTTCCTGGGTCTCAGCCCCTGATCCCTGCTGACCTTCTGCTCCCCCTACCATCTCTGAGGGAGATTCTGAAACTGTTACCACGTAACCAAGCTCAGTGAAACGGTGAGCTCCTTGTCACTGAAGGTCTGCATGCACAGGCTGGATCCTCCCTCTGGGAGCTGTGGGGTGGCTGAGAGACAAAAGACAACCCTGACTGCACAGCCCAGAACCCCATGGCGGGGCCAGCCCTATCAGGGGACTCTAGGACTCCTGGTCTGGCCTCTGGCTTCTGGGGCAGGCTCTATTCTTTGTGCTTGACTACAAATGGCTTGGTTCTGAGAGGTGATTTCTGGTCCCCACCTTGGAGGGACAGTTGGGACCTTGACCATGTCATTGGGTTTATTTTAGAACTGTTTAAAAGTTAGTCATTGCAAAGGTGCTTCTTCCTTAGGAGCTCCCCTGGGATCTCTGAGCTGGCCTCCAATTAACAGGCACTTCACCAGCCCCCACTGGGCTTTCTCCCACTGATGGGTGAAGAGTGCCCTTGAGACTGGAGGAGGGTCGGAGACACCAGGAAAAGCAGCTAATTGGTGAGAGGATGTATCCTTCTCACACATTCACTTCATGTTTCATCAGCAGTAAATGCAGCTTTTGGAGATGCTTCCTGGCCCTGTGGGAGGAGGGCAGAAGCTGGTGCTACCATCTGTGTGGGTATGAGTGTACTGGGCTAGCAAGAATGGCTTGAGAGCTCTGGGAGCCCAGACACTCACATGGGGCTTGTTAAGGGTCTCCTTGTGGCAGGCAACTGGGGTCCTGCCTGCAGAGGTGGGAGTGGCCATTCGTTAGCTTAGTAGGGTCCCTGCTGGTGTAGGGTCCTCCTGCTTCCAGGAGCTGTTGGGTCACTCCTCGTTCTGAAGCCTCCTTGGCCTTCACTTTTGGTCTGTGGAGGCAGCTACTTCTGAGACCACTTCCTGGTTCCATTATTCTGTGACTTGTGTGAGTTGCCAGTTTACCTAGGTCAGGAGTGCATGGACGTGCCAGTCATGTTACAGACATGTGACTGGTATAAATTATCACTTCATGCCTGGTACTCCACACATCATCTCTGCTTCCCCATGGGCATCTCTTAGTGAGCCCCTTACCCCTGGTGTGCACTGCAGTAGGGCAGGGTGTCTCCCTCTTGGCACTGTTGACATTTGGACCAGATACTGTGTGATGGGCACTGTCCTGGGCAGAGTAGGATGTTGAGCAGCACCCCAGGCCTTCAGCTGCTGAATACTAGTAGCACCCCAGCCAAGTGGTGGCCATGAAAAGCATGAAAGGGTCCAGGAAGAGAAGAGGAAGCTGCAGCAGCTTAGACCCGGTGCTCCTTGGCGTCTTGCCTGGCTGGGACTCAGCTTCATGGCCCTTCCTGCCCACTTACCCAGCGAAGAGGTGGAGTCGGGTCCATCCAGCCGTACTACACCTACGCATGGTGCCTGTGTACCCAGTGTGTGGGTGTGGCTGAGCCGGTAGAGTGTCTCAGTGGGGAAGCGTGTGGGACCCAGTGCTGTGTCCAAGTGTCATCTGCATGTATGTGCCTGAGGCTGGGTGCATCAGGGGATGTGCATTTTCTCTGCCATGGCTTAAGGATTGAAGTGACAGGCTTCACTCCCAACTACAGCAGAGGCTCATTTGTGAAACAACATCTGAGATGACCATGCAGCTGCCCACGGGTGCTCACTGTCTCCCACACAGTCCGTCAAGAGTTGTGGCAATCTGAGTCCCAAGTGTGCCTTGTGCTGTCACTTCTCCCCGTCTGTCCCTGCCTGGTCCAGGCCTCTGTCGTTCTCTCTCTGCCACAGCAGCCCCTCCTCCTGGCTTCCTGATGCCTTATGCTACTCCTCTGCAGCCTGTCCTTGCCACGGCAGCCCCTGGAGCCACACTCTGCAGGGATGTCACCCCTACTCCAAACTGCCAGCATCTGTCATCTGTGAGGCCCCTGCCTACCTGGCCAACCCTGGCCCCCACATGGACAGGCAGCCTCTCACCTCCCCCTGGCTCATTCTCGCTGGGCAGCTGAGCACCTTCTCCCACGAGCCAGGCCTCAGACAAAAGGAAGGCCACTGTCAGGCACGGTCGGTGGCCTGTGCACAGCCCTGGCCTGTGGGAAAGGATGTGCACCTCTGCCGGAGGGCCACTCCCCAGCCACACCTGGGGCACAGCGTGCATGAGCACAGCATCCTAGGAGTGCTGGTCCGAGGACTGGAAACCCCACTTTGCTCTGGTGATGGTCAGATGGGTGTTGGCGCACAGCAGCCCCAGGGGCCATAGTGAGATGCTCCTCGTGACCTAGGATTTGCTCTTCTGCTTCTGTGTTGTCACCATGTTCTTGTTTTGAGTGGCTTTATTTCACATGTATCCTAAAGATGGTCGAGTGCAGGGAGACACTGCCTGCCTCCTCCACACAGCCCACCTGGGCAGGAGGACAACAGCGTCCCCAGCCCAGCAAGAGGGTGGCCCCGCTTCTCAGAGCGGCCATTTCTCTCCTTCCCCTCAGATGGCAACAGCCTGTTCGACTCCATGGCCAGTGGGATGCGCCTGGTGGTCAGCTGCATCTCCTCCTTCCTCATCCTGTCGCTGCTGCTCTTCATGGTCCACCGGCTGCGTCAGCGGCGCCGGGAGCGCATCGAGTCCCTGATTGGAGCAAACTGTGAGAGCCCTCGGAGGGCCACAGCCCTGGTCCCCATCCCCACCCCTGGTCACCCTGCTTCTCCATGAGCTCCCCAGCCCTGGGGAGAGAGGGGCAGAGGCAGGTGGAGGGCCCCCGGTCAGGTGTGAGGACCACATGTTGTGGGGTCTGCGTTGTCACCTGTTGGCCAGGAAAGTTCTTGCTGAGACCCTCCTTATTCCCACCGAACCACAAGGTAGGCAGAACTCAGAGGTCTCTAAGAGTCAGAGGCTGGGTCTGCCAGAAGTGTCAGCCCAGAGGGACAGATTGGTGTGGTGAGGGTGGGACATGCTGCGGAGCATGGGGGTCTCATGGGGATGCCGACTGTGGCCACAGGGTAGGCAGCGGGGCGCAGGTGCACGCACTCAGAGACGGCAGGCCCAGCCTAGGTGTGGGGAGCTCAGGAGCCAGGCATGTTGCCCCCAGTGACTTGGCTCTGTTCCCATTTCTCACTTTTGATGGCCCAGTGCACCACTTCAACCTCGGACGCAGGATCCCTGGCTTTGATTATGGCCCCGATGGTTTCGGCACAGGCCTCACGCCGCTGCATCTTTCTGACGATGGAGAGGGCGGGACTTTCCACTTCCACGACCCTCCACCTCCCTACACGGCGTACAAGTACCCGGACATCGGCCAGCCTGACGACCCCCCGCCACCCTACGAGGCCTCCATCCACCCGGACAGTGTGTTCTATGACCCCGCAGGTGCCTGACTCCCCAGGGAGAGGGAACACCTTGTCAAGTGACCTGGCACACGAGGCTAAGCCAGTACTCCTACCCAGCTGCACAGGCTTGGGGCCCTCACTTCTTTCCAGCTTTGTCTTTGGTTTTCCCTTTAAGGCTCCTCCTGGGGCTGCCCATGCAGAAGGGGTCCTGATCTCCCTGCCTGGGCGCCCCTGGTGATCTGTGCAGAGGCCTCCGAGGAGTCCTGGGACCCAACCCTTCTACCTCCCTCCCTTCCATGAGCACCTGTCAACTGGGCAGCCCTCCGGGCCCTCAGCCCAGCTCTAGAGACCTGGGGAGCTGGGCACTGGTGGTTGTGAGGATAGAGCTGGCCCAGACCCGGGAGCCAGTCACTTGTCTGTAAGGACACCATGGTGACAGTCCCTCATGTCATGTCAGGAGGCAGCTCTGTGAGGTGGGAGGAAAGCACTGGTTCTGTGCTGCTCGCCCATAGAGTCTGCCACCCATCTGACAGTGGGCACCATTCCTCAAGGCTGTGTAGCTAGGGAGGAGTGGCAGGCCACCGAACCCTGGCCTGTCCCTGTCTCTGAGCAGTGCAGGTGTCCCATCACATCTCCCTGTACCTGAGGCCCCCTAACAACACACACAAACCTACGGTATACTTGGAGGCAGTGCCACTCCAAGGCGGCCAGCTCCTCGCATACCCACACGTCTCAGCAGAATGGGCATCATGAGGCTGATGCTGTTGGCCGAAAGATCTCAGTCCTGATTGTTTGGTTAGCTGCCTTCGCTCTTGCATGATTGGTGGGGTGCGGAAAAGACTTGCATTCGACCCCTGCCCTCAGGACACAGATTGTCAGTCTTCCAGGCTAGGACCAGCTTCCTGCAGGGGATGCCAGTGGGTGGCAGCAAGTCCCAGATGCCTCTGTGGGCCAGGCTGCAGAGCAGGGTGGGGGCTGTGTGGGGCTGGAAAGGAGGGAGGTGCATCACCGGGGCCTTGTGCTGTCAGCTTTTAGAGATGGCCCGTGGTAATGACAGGCAGCCTAGGCACAGTGGCTCATGCCTGTAATTCAGCACTCTGGGAGGCTGAGGTGGGAGGAGCGGTCTCCCTGTGTTGCCCAGGTTGGTTCAAGACCAGCCTGTGAGACCTGTATCCATAAAAAATTCAAAACTATGGCCGGGCGCGGTGGCTCACGCCTATAATCCCAGCACTTTGGGAGGCCGAGGCAGGTGGATCATGAGGTCAAGAGATCGAGACCATCCTGGTCAACATGGTGAAACCCCGTCTCTACTAAAAATACAAAAAATTAGCTGGGCATGGTGGCGTGTGCCTGTAATCCCAGCTACTCAGGAGGCTGAGGCAGGAGAATTGCCTGAACACAGGAGGCGGAGGTTGCGGTGAGCCGAGATCGCGCCATTGCACTCCAGCCTGGGTAACAAGAGCGAAACTCCGTCTCAAAAAAAAAAAAAAAAAAAATTCAAAACTAGCCGGGCATAGTGGGCACACCTGTAGTCCCAGCTACTGGGCGGGCTGAGACTGGAGAATCACCTGAGCCCAGGAATTCAAAGCTGTCATGAGCCACGATCATGTCACTGCACACCGACATCCAGTCTTTTAAGATCCTATCTCTTAAAAGAAAAAAAAGTAATAAAAATCAGGCAAAACAAAGCGAGTCGACTCCCTACCACACAGCCTGCCTTGGATTGGAGCTTCCTGTAGACACCCGCGTGGTTTTCCAGCCCGCTTGCTCCAGCCCTGTTGCCCACACGTCGGTTGCCACATTCCAGCTGCAGCCCTGAGTGTTCTTCCACCCACCCTGGGCCCAGTGCCTCCCTGATGGCAAATGCCGCTGCCTTCCTGCCGAGTGGGGTCTCCACTCGTACTGAGTCTGAGACTGTTTCCCTTTGGGCCCCTCTGTTCTAGTGACTTCTGGTCAGTGTGTCTCCACCTCACACTGATGGCGGGACAGGCCGGTGTCAGCTGTTGGGGATGTGCCCTGCACCTTGCATATACCAGGTTCCCAGCCACAGGGAGCAATAGGTACAACAGGGGTTGTGTGGGGCAGGCTTCCCCTTCAGAATCTGAGGCTCGGGGGCGTTCAGGCAGGAGGTGTTCCCTGGTTCTGCCCAGCTCCCCTGCATCCCCTGTGCCAGACCCACACCTGCCTCATACCGCTCTCTCTCTTTCTGCAGATGATGATGCTTTTGAGCCCGAGGAGGTCAGCCTGCCAGCACCTGGGGACGGTGGCAGTGAAGGTGCATTACCCCGGCGCCTGGAGCAGCCTCTGCCCACTGCAGGGGCCTCTCTGGCAGACTTGGAAGACTCTGCTGACAGCAGCAGTGCCCTGCTCGTGCCCCCTGACCCTGCCCAGAGTGGGAGCACCCCAGTTGCAGAGGCACTGCCAGGGGGCAGCCGCCACAGCCGCAGCTCCCTCAATACTGTGGTGTAGACAGTCCAGCCTGTACCCTAATGGTCTGGGAGCACGTGTATGCTGTTGAAAACACCTGTGGGAGACTTGAAAGGCCCCTGTCCCAGCCTGGACCCCGCGCACTGCCGCATATCACTGGCAGGCACGCGTGTGTACATAGAGACCGTGGCCCGCCTCCTGCCAAAAGAAGTGATGGCTTGCACCGAGCTTCCTTGAGGGCTTCAGAAACATGCATAGCTTTGGGTCACTGTCTCTTCATTTTTAAATGGCAGAAGAGTGACAAAATTGTTCAGACCCACATTTTAGAGGCAGGGAATGAAGAAGGTACTGTGGGGCCATGGCCACACCCATGTCTTTGGCAGGCTTGCTTGCTTCAATGTGCTGTCCAGAGAGGCCTGCTGACCAGTCACCCAGCTTGGGATGGGCACAGTGGGGGCTGCCATGGTGCCCCTTGCTGGCCACCCTCAGGAGGGGGCCTCTGGGCTGTCAGGGTGGTATAGGCAGTGGGTCTGCTTCAAGGAGACAGCCTCTGAGTTTGCCACAACAAGTGCCCTGGAGATGACCCCCACAAGGCCAGTTGTGAACATCAAGGTGGCTCTGCCCCTGGCTGGGAGTTCCCTGGGGCTCTGGAACCTGAAGCCCTGAGAAGGAGAGCTTGGAAGGAGATTGAGCTCTTCACTCTGTCTTTCCATCTGGGCACTCTGCAGCCCAGCTCTGTGGCAGGAGGCCTGACCCCACTCCGTCAGTCCCTCCCAGCATTGCTGTGCATGGCTTCCCCAGGAGGAAGCTCTGGAGTGGCGCTGAGGCCCCAGGTGCTCTGCCAGGGCCTGGGGGCTGAGCTGCCTCCTGCCTTTCCTCTCTGGAGCCCTGGGCTCCTGCCTCCTGTTGAATTGCCCCTGGGCTTGCCCCCTGACCTGGTTTGTGCCATAAAGGGTTGCTTCATTGGGGGAGGGGTGGCCGAAACCACCATCCTGGGCTGTATCTGTCTCCTTCGAGCGACTCCTTCAACCACCACCACTGCTGCAGCTCTGCCCAGCAGTCGCATGCACACCTCGGCCCCTCAGCAGTGCAGGGGCTGGGGGCTCTGCCTGGGACCCTTTTCCCTAAAAGACCCTGTTGCCTGCTACCGGGCGGTGGTCTTGAAGCCTGACACAGGGCCTTTAATGTTTCTGAGGTTTGGAGATTAAGCGGGTTCTGTGCGATTTTTAGCACATCCATATCTTTTCTACGTTGAATGTCTGGATCTTTCCTTTATATGTTCGTGTCTCTGTGTGTGTATGTGGCCAGGTGTTTGCAGGTGAGGGTGGCGCATGGAACTTTGCCGATGGACGGGGACCCACTCTTCCAGGGTCATCCATGCATCCTGGGCTGTGCTGAGGCAGGGCTGTGTCTCGCTCAAAGTCTTTTCAGACCAGCAGGACGGCACCTGGCAGGCCTGGCAGGAGCATGCCGTTCCGTGGTGCTGCTTGGGGATGGACTCCATGCACAGTCCACTTGATACGTTCTCATACTGTGTCTGGAGACCCATTTTTTTCATCCCATGTGGAATGAGCATCTTGAGTTGCCACAGACTTGGCCTTCATGTCAGATCTGTGTTCTGTCACTGAATTGCTTGGCCTCCTGGAGGCTGTGTGCTAGCAGGCCTCTGCTCCCCTTGCCAAAGGGCTGCTACTTCCTTGAGAAGGAAGTTCTGCCCACAAGACTCCCATGCTGGCTGCAGAGGACAAAGCAGGAAGCACATCGTGCATGGGACAGGGCAGCCAGGTTCCAGAGCAGCCGGCATGTGCGTTCTGGGTGCCTGGTGGCCATCGAGGGTCTGAGGACCACACCACAGAGTCCCCCACGGACCTGAGCCCAAGAGCTCAGAGGGTTCCTACCGGGGCTCAAAGCTCTGTGCAGGACAGGGTGGCTAGCATGAGATGTGTCGGACTGGAAAGCTTCCTTTGGGGACCAGAGGAACATTAGGGCCAGTCAGACGTGTAGGGGGCATTGAGGAAGGGGCTAAAGTGGACCATGCCAGCTGCAGAGGGCTCTGGGCTAGCCAGGCATTTCTGGGTGGCCCTTTCCCCATGGGCCTCCACAACTGCTTAGGTCAACTGGCACCTCAGGCTGGGCAGAAGGCCCATTTGCAGGGCTGCCCAGAATACCGCCACCACTGCAGCTCCAGGGTGCGTGAGGAGAGCTGGACTCGCTCATCTGTCCTTGCGCCCCATCCAGAATGCCCCTTTTGCAAGGCCTGCTGCAGCCCCCAGTCTCACCAGAGTCCTGGGGCCATGCTTGCTAAGCCTTGTGCTCCAGGGGTCCCCCTTCCCCAGGACCACCTTGCCACGTTTGCGGAGACCAGGTGCCCTCTGACCTGCCTTGTGGAGGTGGGATTTGATACTGTACGTTGTCTCAATGCCTGTTTTTTAATGTTTTCCTTTCATTGAGGGTTTTTAGTTTGGGTTTAATTTTGGTTGGGTTGGCACTAACTCTTAAGATGCTGTGAGAACCATTTCATCCAAATGCCAAATAAACTTGTGTTCTGGAAGAGGCGTGGTCCTTGGTGTGACCCCCACAGCTGCCACAGGCTAAGGTGGAAGTGGCAGCACCCACCTTTCAGCAGAATGCTCCTAGGGTTTGCAGTCCTTGCAGGTATCCCACAAATCCCCTGAGGACCAGGCAGAGCTGAGCCTGGAGCCCCCATGTGGGGCGTGCAGATAGCAGCAGCCCTGGGCTTCCTGCAGCGATCCAGTAACACACTTCCCTGCCTGGGGCATTGGTTGCTGCTTTGGCAGGTTTTGCTGACTTGCACAGGATCCACATAAAAGCTTGACACCATCTGAGAGCCACCATGATATGGGGTGCCAGGGCAGGTCTTGGAACTTGGCCATCAGCCCCATCTCCTCCAAGCTCCCCTTACTTTCCAGGTGGCTGGAAACAGCCCTTCCCTGCAGTCCAAGCCACCTAGGGTCCCAAACTAGTCTGGGTCCTCTGGGGCTTCACACCTGTCCAGCAAGGACATCTCTAGGTTTCAGAGGGTAGGGGGTCCTGGAAGTGTAATTGCATACCCCACCCTGGGGCATTCCAGATTCGTATGTTGGAGGAAGTCCTGTGGCTAGATACAAGAGGGGTCAGGGTTAGGAGAGGAACTGGTAAGTCTCTTGGCAGGGATGGGAGCCTCAAGGAGGCAGCCGCTCTTTTTTTTTTTTTTTTTTTTTTTTTTTGAGACGGAGTTTCGCTCTTGTTACCCAGGCTGGAGTGCAATGGCGCGATCTCGGCTCACCGCAACCTCCGCCTCCTGGGTTCAGGCAATTCTCCTGCCTCAACCTCCTGAGTAGCTGGGATTACAGGCACGTGCCACCATGCCCAGCTAATTTTTTGTATTTTTAGTAGAGACGGGGTTTCACCATGTTGACCAGGATGGTCTTGATCTCTCGACCTCGTGATCCACCTGCCTCGGCCTCCCAAAGTGCTGGGATTACAGGCTTGAGCCACCGCGCCCGGCCTTTTTTTTTTTTTTTTTTAAATCCCATCTGCTGGGGCAGGAGTGGAATGGGGGTGTTGAGTCCTGGGCACACAGGTCACCGTCAGGATCCTGGACAGAGCCCCAAGCCCTGCCTCTGGGTAGAGGCCACCTTCCATCCCCTACGTGGGAAGGGCCCTGCCCTCTGGAAATTGGAAAGAGGCTCGAGGTACAAAGCAGTCCCCTCTGACCTGCAGGGCTCCATCTTGGCCTGGATCCGCAGAGAGGCCCAGGTAAGAGGGAGGCTGTGGTCTTGGGATGGGGTGGAAGTTCCAGGCCCACAGTGGGGCAGGAGACATCCTCCACCTTCTTCCCATCCTTGCCGGAAAGTCATGGGCGCTGGAGTCAAAGGTGCCCTCACTGTTTGAACTTTCTTGCTGGTGGCTCTGACGTGTCATTATGGTTCCCAGCCTGTTTCCTTGACTATAAATGGAAATAATAATAGGTCACTCCTCCCCTGCAGGATTAACCTCAGCAATTGTTGCTGACACTCAGCACAGCCCTGGGACCAGTGCACGTCTGGGTGAGTTTGGAGCACTCCATCTCTTCTTGGTGGTCCCACCTGGGCACCACCCCCTCCCACCTTCTCCTCGATGGCCACACCCCCAGCCCACCTAGATAACGAGTAAATGTGTAGCACCCTAGCTCCACGGTCTAGCTGCTTTCTAGTCCAGAGTTGCTCTGCCACTGCACCACACAGGGCCCTGGCAACGTGTGCTCACCTTTCTAGTGGTGCAGTATGAGAGTGCGCACCATGACTCTGTCCGTCTGGTCTGCAATCCTCTTTTTTTTTTTTTTTTTTTTTTTTTTTTTTGAGACAGAGTTTCGCTCTTGTTACCCAGGCTGGAGTGCAATGGCGTGATCTCGGCCCACCGCAACCTCCGCCTCCTGGGTTCAGGCAATTCTCCACCATGCCCAGCTAATGTTTTGTATTTTTGTTAGAGACGGGGTTTCACCATGTTGACCAGGATGGTCTCGATCTTTCAACCTCGTGATCCACCCGCCTCGGCCTCCCAAAGTGCTGGGATTACAGGCTTGAGCCACCGCGCCCGGCCCAATCTACCCTCTTTTGCCACGCTCCACCACCCCTTAGGTTATGCCACTGAGGGTGGAGAGGGACGGGGGGAGAAAATACTGGGGTAGGGGTGACTGGGCCTCTGCAGGCCTAAGCCCCTGGCCCTGCTTCATTCTTGGACCCCAGCTGATGGGATGGGGCTTGGAGAGGGCCCAGATGACTGGCCTCTCAGCTCAGTCTCCTGCCCACTCTCTCCATCGGTGCCTGGTGCTATGACTTACAGGACCCAAAGTGTGGTGAGGACAGAGTGTCATGTGAGGCTGTGTCCTGGCAGCACCAGAGCATGTGCCAGTGGTGCAAGAGTGGCCAAGACACAGTCTACACGCTGCACTCTGTGGCCTTTGCAGGTTTCTGTCTGCAGTCCTCTGCCCCAGTGACTGGGCATCAAGTGCAAGTGCATGACTGTCCCCCTGTGTGTGAGTCTGGGTCTGCTGTGATCACCAGTCCTGAGTCAGTCAAGGCTGGTGTGCCTGTTGCTGTGGCCAGGTCAAGCGTGTGCATGTGATAGAGGTCCCAGTGTGGGTGTGTGACTGGGTGCCGGAGACCCTTCTGCCTTCATCTCACCATGGGGCAGTCGACCTGCAGACTAGGTGGCTAGGTCAGATGCAGGGTGCGAGAGAAGGGGGCCCTTAGACCTGTTCAGGTGTAGGGGAAGCAGAGAGTGGTTTCCTGAGGCTGGGTTATTCTCTGGGTATATGGGAGGCCACCCGCTGCTGCACTCCCTGGCTGCCTCTCTGACCCCCACCCACCCCAGAGATGGCAATCCTTGTTCCCACAGGCCCCACCCACTGGAAGAAGCTGGCCCCTGCCTGTGGGGGCCCAGGCCAGTCCCCCATCAACACTGACCTTCACAGGGTCCGGTGGATCTCTACCCTAGGGCCCTTCATCTTCCAAGGTTACGACTCAGCACCTCCGGGCCCTTGGACCCCGGAGAATGACAGCCACACAGGTCAGCACCCTGCAGTCAGGACCCCTCCTAGGCAGGGGCAGGAGCCCCACACAGGTCATGAGAGCTCCTGCATGTACACAGGGACCAGGAGCCCCTACACAAGGGAGCTGAGACACCCTACAGGGCCAAGAATCCTCCATAGGGGCTAGCTCCACAGGGAAGGAGCATTCTCACACAGCAGTCCAGACGCACCCTCTGCGCCAGGCCCCACCCTATAAATCACAACTAGACATGGCCCCTGAGGACCAGTAGTCAGGATCTCCGATGGGGCCAGGATCCCTGACCACACATAGCTGGGCTCAGAGCCCCACCCCAGGAGGGCTGCCCCCTGCCCTCTTCCACGCCATGCTGGGTGTGGTAGTGGGGGCAGGGTTTCCCCTGCAGTCAGTGGAGCCCTGTTCTGACGCTCTGGACACCATGGGTCCCCTTCCACTGAGGAGCAGCCTGCCTTGAGGAGGGGCCTATGCTCCTACCCTAATGGCACAAGGTGGGCAGGTGGTGGGGTAGAGAGGGTGTTACATGCCTTCTCACCTTCAGGGCTACTCCGAATAGACACTGATCCTCAGAACCACCTGGAGATTCAGGGGCCTGGGCTGCTATTGCCTGCCTACTTCACACTGCTGCTGCACTTCCACTGCTCGGAGCACAGCCTGGACAGGCAGCGCCAGCCTATGGAGGTGGACTTGGGCATGAGGTCGAGTGGCCAGAGGGCCCCACAGAGGTGAGGGGGAGCAAAGTGGGGGCAGCTGGGTATCTCCCACCATCTATGCCTCCCCCAGATGCACATGGTCCACATGAACACAAAGTACCAGAACGTGGAGGTGGCGTCACACCACGCTTATGGGCTCACAGTGCTGGTAGTGAGGGCGAGGCTGTGACTATGTTTCCCAAAAAGGAGTCCATGGGGATCCTGGAAGTGGGCAGGCTGGGCCTGCAGAGTCTGTGGGGGATTGCTAGGGTCTATAGGATCGGTGGGAGGATGGGGTGGTGGGAGGGTATGGATCAGCAGGGTCAGTGGGGGTGAGAACCCTCCAGCCCATATGCCAGATGCCCCCTGCCACTGGGAGCCTCCTGCTTAGATTCCCCCAGCAGAGTTCCCCCTTCAGAGACCCCCACTCAGAACCCCTCCCATTTGGAGCCCCTCCCAGGAGCAAGACTGTAGCAACACCAATTTCTCCGCCTTTGTGTTGGGCCTGAAGAAGGTGTCTTCCGGCTTAGGGGGATCTGGGGATGGCGTCAGCGGGGCACAGGGAGGCTGGTTTCAATCCCCCTCCCTCCCCCTCTGAGAGGAATCTGGAGAGGCCCAGGTTCTGATGAGGTAGGAGAGGGTCATCACTCAGAGGGCTCCCACGGAACAGGCAGGCACACTGAGGCCTCAGTGGGATTAGGGCAGGAAATGCCACCCTTGCAGTGGGGGACCATGCCGGGTCACACCCCACCACACACACACCACATTAAGGTTACCCTATACATTGTTTATTTCACATGGAGGGTCACCCACGGTTGACAGAACCACAAGCTAAGCCCCAGGCCCATCAGTGCTAGGGTTGCTAGGGAGGGGGAAGAGCAGAGGTGGTGGGTAGAAGGGGCGGCCGCAGGGACCGAGGCTCCAGGGGAGGCTACATTTCCCAAGGCCGAGAGACGAGAAGCCGCTGGCTCCAGGTTCCACTGCAGGCTATCCTAGCTGTGTGGGTGCTGGGCACCGTGGAGGGCTGCCTGGTGTACTATGCCCCAGAGCCTCCCTGGGAGTTCGGCTGTGGAGTCTGCATAGAGGGTGACTCTGGAGAGGTGCTTGTGTCCAGGTGGCTGCCTGTGGGTCTAAGTAAAGGGGTGAGTATTCTTGGTGTCACTGTCCAAAGCAAAGCTGGGTCCACGGGACACGGACTAGGTAAGGCTCTGTGTCCAGGCGACGCTCTCCAGTGAGAGGGGGCCGCTGTCAGAGTGAGGCTGACCGGAGGCTGCCGAGCAGTTGAGGCCATGTGGAATGTGGTTACATACTGG